TATACCCCCCCCCCCCCCCCCCCCCCCACCGATAACTCAAATTTCTCGCGTCTACCACTCAAGTGTCTCAAGCTTTGTCCTAAGCGCACAACGTTGTTTTGGCTGGAGCAAAACCCGCGAAGCTCCATTGTCCATGAACGAAAGAGAGATGCCCAACATGTCAAATCGCCCAATCAAAGTCGTCTTCGAAAAGCCGCCGAGAGCTTCATTCGAAAGCCGAGGTACTGCATTTCTCCAAGCGCGACTTTTCTCCTCGTGTGGGCGCAAACCGCCGCGTGTACAGGTAGCACAAAGAATCTAGAGAACGGCGTATCTTCCATCATCCACGTCTTCTACGCATGTTCTACAACGCTGTCAACCACGACTGACACGGTCATCCACGATCACGTTTGGTCGACGATATTACGCGGCTACATTCCCCCCTCCGTCCTGGGCACGCAAGAGCGCGCTAAATCGGCTTGTTGTATCGGCGGCGAGATCCCTGCCAGATATAGGGAACAAGGCGGCAAGGCAAAATTAATACGAGTAATAAACGTTGACATGCGACACACGCAGAACTAAGCAACGGTAGGAACCAAATTTCGGCGTTCAACGTGACCCACACCCTTTCAACAAACGCGAATGGAGGCATGTTCGTTTAGCAACAGGTTGCAAGGCAGTTGGCGATAGTTTGCAAAAAACACAGTATAAGAGGGTGACGATAGCGCGGGACGCAAGAAGACAGAAGGGCGTGGCAAAAAACATTAATTTGAAGATGTTGTATGATGTAATCGGTGATAGCTGTCAACAGGAACACAATCCACACGCGCATGCAAAGGCAGGGTTGCACGCTTGAGGTGGACGGCCGAAGAAAACATAACTGCCATGCCCAAAGAATGTATTCTTGTCGTCGTCGTCGTTGTCGTCTTCACATAGGCAACCGTTACAATCCCTGCTCCTTCGGAAACATCGGACTACAGTACGCGCGTGAACAAAAAACGATTCACACGCCGACTACGGTACACTTCCTTCCTTGGTCAGTCGCGCGGCGCGCGTTCGATGCTGACCAAACAAATGGACACAACTTGAATTTTGAACCACGGACATCTCTTTGTAAAATGAACAGGCGTCCAGGCGGGTGATGCTACTAGAGAAACACACAGACGCCCCCCCGCCCACGTAGATGCATTAGAGAAAGCGCCCGCACCAAAGAACCTCTAAAAAAGTTTGGCCGAGGCTTTGGGGTTCTTACTGTATTCCTAGGGTCGTCGTCCTTCAACTGGCTGTCATACAGGTTTTCTGTAGGTGTTCTTACCCGAGCACACAAATGGTGATCAAGTTCTTAATTGTACCCACACGCACCTTGGTTTCCCTTGTTCGACGACGCGGCCTTCGCTCATCACCGCCACCTTGTCGCAGGACTCTAACACCGGGGGAAGGCGATGCGCCACTGTGAGCACGGTGGCATCCCGAAACGCCTCTGCCATAGCTGCGTCCACCAGCTTCGCGGTCCTCACGTCCATCTGAACGCGAAACGAACAAACGGCGACTGAGCCTGATGCTTGATTGCCATTTTTTCTTCTCGGGCGAAATAATTCATCTATGCGTAGGAATAATTATGGTTTCCGAACAACTAGAAGGCCCGTGAAGCATGTGCAACACTGACAGAGACGGTGCTTACTACTGCTGTAGTTCATATAAGCGTGTAGTCTCGTCAGGATTGGCGCAGCCCGTAACACAAGTAGACACTGCACCTGTATCGGCCTCACTTCTTCGAAGTCTAGCAATCTTTACACGTAACCTACATACCAACGAAGAAGAGCGAACCGAAAACAATCGCAGGTGGAACATTTCACCACCTTTGCCGCCGACGTGAACATGCCAGGGGTAGCGGTCGCAGAACAATGTCTACGTAGGTGCTAAATGAACATCTTACAAGGAACGTTGTGCTTACCCTTGCCGTGGCTTCGTCAACACACACGATCTTGGACCTCCTCAGCAGGGCCCGCGCGATGCAGAGAAGCTGCCTCTGGCCTGAGTTGGTGTTTAGTCGTGGGCACGTGGCATCGAGAGAAGAGATACAACGAGTGAGAGAGAGAGAGAGAAGGAGGGAGAGAGGCAGAGGGGCAGAAACATGAGGAGGAGGTGAGTCGTCCAGGATCATGTCGCACTGCTGCGGCGCTTCGTTCAGTACTTGACCAAAACTCTCAGATCGGCTATTATAGTGGTTTCTGGCTAGAGGGACACCCACGTTTCACCCCCAACGACAGCGAACGCTGTTAAGTTGGATGTTTGGACAGAGGGGCTAGCGGATTCAGAGGTCGCACGAAAAGAGTCAAGAACGGCAGGTACACCAATATGCACTGCTTGTGCATCAGGAAGAAAAAAAAGCAAGTCCTTGTGTCCAAGAAAAACAAGACCAATCGATTCTGAGACAGAGCGAGAAGCAGCGGCAATGCACTAGCAATGCACTAGTAGCAATGACAGCAACTACCAACAACGCCATGGCAACAACGACGCACAACGGCTGGTCATGCATCCCGAGCACGATCTCCCAGCCTGCGTGCAACAGCGAAACCAGGTCTTCCAACATTCCAGCCACCCATGTCCCTATTTCACTGGAATGAAAATCTGCCAACACCCAAACACCACATCGCACAACGCACGATTGATGGGCAGCAACGAAGACAGCCGGAAGGTGTGAAGAAAAAACGGTACTGCTGTTGTTGCGGCTCTGGCCCCACCTGAAGACATGTTGGCCCCGTACCCGTCCAGCTCGGTATCCAGCCTGAAGCCCCCGACGCTCCCTCTCGCGACAGCGCCTCCGCTGCCCACCGTGGAATCGGCTTTCGTAGTCGAGGGATCGCCCCAACCGGCACCGATTGCGCCGTCGCTGCCACCCCCAGAATCTCTGTCGAGATCAACATCAGCCAGTCGGGAGCTTCGTAGAGCTTGCCAAAGGGCGGTATCTGGGTGCTCTCCGGAAGGGTCGAGATTTTCGCGAACGGTTCCGGCGAACAGGAGCGGGTCCTGCTCGAGTTGAGGAGTACCAGGAGAACACACACACACACACACACACACACACATGCTTCTTGACATGTTTTTTGGTGAGAAACGGATTGCGGCAATGGGATCTTTAATTGTCAGGCGCATGTTGTACAGCAGTAATCAGCAGTAAAAAAGGGGATTCGGTACGAGTTCGCTGTGGCTTGGGGGAAGGAGGGTGCGAACGAAACCAACAACCTTTCAACCACACCAACAGACAGGACCCGTTCTGACCTGAGGAATGACGGCCAACCTCGAGCGCAGCAAATGTACCGGCAGCGTGGAGATGTCCACTCCGTCGATGTCGATGCAGCCAGAGTAAGGGTACAACCCGAAAATCGCTCGCAACAACGATGTCTTGCCCGAACCGGTCCTGCCCACAATACCAACCTGCGGGAAGGGTGTGATGTGCATGGTGCGAGGTTACGACGCGATTTCCGCACCCTCGCGAGTGACATGGCGAACGCCTTGGGACCCTCTGCACGCAAGAAGACGTGCACAAGACGCAGGATATAGACACGCCGTGTGCCGTCGTTTTCATCCCCTGGGAAGAACGCCATGGCACCACCACGATAGCGTGAGCTCGTACATAGCTACACGTACGGCACGGGAGTATTTAACATCACCGGCAATAAACCGTTGCGTGTTCGCTACGTAGGGACCTATTGAACATACAACAGTAGCAGGGCCTGATTAACATACAACAGTAGCAGCGCACGATTCAAGGTATCCCTCGCAGGCCCGCGCCCGCTGCAGATCAACCCAACGTCAACCCACGAGCTCCTCCCCTGTTGGGTGCTGCGCTTATGGCACGCATTTAACTCGCACCTTCTCTCCCGCCCCCACCGTAAGATTGACTCCCATCAGCGAAGGGGTGAGGTCTCGCCGGTAACTCATCACCAGATCGGAGACTTCCAGACGGCCCTCCCCCGGCCACCCCGGCGACACGCCGCCTCCCCCCGCCGCCGCACCCCCCGGCCTGAGATGCCTCCTGCCAGAGAGGTGCCCCTCGTCGTCGAAGGCGTTTTTGTTGGCGGGGGCGTTGTTGTTGTTGCTGCTGCTGCTGGAGCTGCTACTGCTGCTGCTGCTGGAATGATTGTTGTCGAAACCGTCGTCGCGGCAGTACTCGTCCATCCGCTCGACGGAGATCATCTCCCTCTCCGTCTCGGTCAGGGCGCCTAGCAGTCCCGTCAGATTGCCTGCACACGCACCATGGCAACGAAAGGAGCGGATCATCAAACACGCCGACTACGACGAAAAAGGTTACCGGAGCGTACACGTCAACTGCTACGGATCCGATGGGTTCTCCCGCAGCGGAAGGTAGCAAATCAGAGGAGGAGAGAAGATACGAGTCGAGCAATAAAATGCGACTCGGAAAGCCAGAGTATCTATCGACATCTAGCTATAGCAGGGAATCCAGCCCCTTACGGGCTCGTACGGCTAGCTGTACGGGCGCGCAGGCACCACCACCATATGCCACACTTAGTTTCCGGCTCAAGAATTCCTTTCTGCGTCGAGTTTAAACAGCGGAGAGCCCAGGGGGTGCAGTATCTCAATCAAGAGATACGGTCGAGGCAAGCAAGGATAACTGGTTACGGTATGAAGAAATCCGCCCTGCAGGAACCTTACAGAGGAAACCACGGAGGGGATGAGAGACCACTTCCTGCACGATACAACGGGCAGAGCACATGGCGTGAAAAACGATAGCTGCCGACATACGAAAAACAAAGTGCAATGGTCCTCCCAGAGCTGACACACCAAGAAATACAAAAAATGATCACACCTACGATCGGCAGAGCGTACGTCAGACTTAGGCCGACAAGGCCGTAGTAGCTGTTCTGGTTGTTGTTGTTGGCGGTGGCGGCAAGGCTTTCACCCAGCGCTTCATCTTGTCCCCCAGCGCCCCGAAGCTGTTGCTGTGCGACGGCCAAAAACGCCACTGCGGCCACCACGACAACCCCCAAACCCTTGCCCGTCGACAGGAGGGAAAATGTACAGCACATCACATGCAATAACGTTGGCTCCGGAAAAAGGTAACGCAATAAAGGATAGTTAAAAACAAAAACACTGTATTTTGAACACAGAGCATCTAAAGATGTTTGAAGCGCCAAATTAGTCAACAAGAGACAAGCTATCCAAAAGCAAACAAGAAACATGAGAGTAGGTCGAATCAAAGTCGCGGTGGCCGCAATCATTCAATGTCGAAAATAAGCCCGAAAGCAACGAGGGTACACAAGCGGGAAAACCAAACTATTACACACAAAAATACATTGGTGAGGTTTCCCGTGGACATGGTCTGTTGTAGCAGTCGAAAGCAGTCAAACACCTATCTCCAGGCACATGCGCCATCTATCTCGAAGAGCTGTTCCACTCCTTCCTCGCCATGATCTTCCTTGAAACGTTGGTTTCTTGCGTTTGTTGGTAGCGACGCGAGACTGTGGATTTGAGCCGTTCAAACGACGGCCCGCCTAGCGAGTTGCACACCCGCTGTGTGCGACGAGGACCACTAACAGTGATTGTTGGAAGGCACACAAAGCAACACAGTACGTGCAGGCAGATCGTGGGAAGCTGGCACGCCGATATTCGACATCGAAACGGACTGTGCACTTACACCCAGAAAACAACGTGGACCGGCGTAGGAAAGGTTTCAAACATATACAGCACGTGCTCCCAACCTGCAGCCTGAGCGAGAGCCAGGCGGACGCCATGGACCCCGCGAACGTCGCCCGCTGATTTTCCGCCAACAGACCGACGAACCTTCCAAAGAACGCCTCCTTTGCGTGGGGGAACATCGAAGATGGAACGTGTGCACCCGGAAGCAAAACAAAAGTTTCCACAATAATTTTGCAACACAAGCACATGGAGCATAAAAGGTGTTGTGTATGGTACACGAAACACATCTGCCATGCCCATTGCCACTCGCCACAAAAACAAGAATACCGAAAGTTAAAAATAAAGCAGCCAATTCTACTCAATACTGCCACCCACCACCGAAAGAGGCCGCGGCGAGGACAAAAGCGACAACGACAACGGTACCAAGAGAGCCGTTTGTATGAGGGTGACGAGGGGTTGAACAAGGTGGCAAGTTGGTTTGGTTCGCGAGGCATGCATCATCTGAGATGAGGTGGTCCTGGCCGGACAATCTCTAAACCGCCACAAATCCCGGTAAGAAGAATAGTGCTTCCCTTTCGTATCGTTTCGTTGCGACAAACAAACAATCAGAGGCGGAAGCCTAACAAAAGCGTCGTTCAAGCGTAACGACGTACGTGTGCCTGACTACTTCTGTTGCACCACAAATGCGCGATTCAAATGTGGGATGGGAAGGCCAAGCCTAGTCAGCCACCCACAGAAGAAGTCATGCACTGCTGCTGTGTATTATTGTAAGAGCAACCAATAAGCAGCGCGACTCATAAGTCTGCTGCCTTGGTTACCTGCTGACCGAAGGCCCGGATGGTGACCGCTCCATCCAGCGTTTCCGAGAACAAGGCATAGATGGGTGATCTGGCCCAGAGCGGGGCGCAAGGGCCAGGCACGGGTGCAAGTGCGGTAGGGAGGGTGCAGCACATGGCCCCAGGGGCTCGAGAAAGTTTGTACCTCGGGACGGAGCGACCGGCGCAACAGAAACAAAAGCAACCTCGCCCCACCCCCACGACGATTGAATAGCCTAAGCCAAAGGTTACCCCCTCGCTCAACTCCAACGGCTGTTGCGGCCACAACGACGAGGAGAAGCCTTCGACCATCAAAACGCCGTCACGGGTTGAGCTGTTCACACGCGACGTTACCTGGAAGTGGAGTCCAAGCGCCGGAGCTCGCGACTGCTGCTGCGGTAGTACCTCTGCAGCTTGGCGTAGACCCAGCCGAGGGGAAGGAACAGCGCCGCGAGGACGGGGCTGGTGGAGCTCAGCACCACCGCCGTCGCCGACAGTCCGGCCGCCTTTTTATCGGGTGTGTTGTAAGACAACAAGCGGCGGCGTGCCGCGGCATAAAAAAGTACAGCGACAAGAACGTGGAGCAGGGGGGGGTGGGTGGCAAACTATGAGGAGGTGAAAAGAATGCTGTGATGGGGTGTGCAAGCGGCAGTTCAATCCGGGGATAGGACATGCGCAAGCAAGTACGACGGCCGCGCTCAGCTCTCCGCACCCCAGAGAAGCCGCAAAGCTTACCGCGTCTTGGAAGACGTGTCCTTCACCTCAAAACCTTACCGCTAGCCTTGTCCCGTTAGTCTTCATCCTAGAACGAAACTTAGCCTCAGACCCAGAGAGACAACCCTAAAAAACCCGAACAAACTAAATCCTCAACGCGCGTAGGACAAAGCAAGGGTGGCATCGCCGACGTTGACACGTTCGCACGCTCCTACCGACCCATCACGACCTTTCGCAAAAGTCTGCATCCTGAGGGAGAGCGAACGAAAAAGGAAAAAAAGCCTTGAGAACGAGGACGAGGAAGATCAATCAACTTCTGACCCAAAAAACCATACCTGTGCCAGGAGAACGTTGAGGTGGAAAGGCAGGGGGTCGTCGACGCTGAAAGCGTCCCGGCTGAAGCGATTAACGACTCGGCCCGAAGGGGTGATGTCGAAAAACGCCGAGGGCTTGCCGAGGACGTGCGTTAGCAGCCGCCGGTGAAGGGCAACCGCAGCTCGGACCCCGCCGAACGCGAAGCCGAAAGCCCTGGGAGAATTGTGGGCACAAGCAAGCTTTGTTGAAGTTTTTCGATTTCTCGCCGCGAGAAAGCGCCCTACGGCGTCACACACAAGACGAATTCGAGCAGACAACTCCAAAGCAATTCCTTCTCTCTCTCTCTCTCTGTCTCTCTTTTGCTGTTACCGATTTTGTTGGTTCAGGAATTGTTTGGCATTTGTTGTTGTTGGTGTCGGGTGGACGTACGCGCGGCCGTCGGTGAAAAGCGCGTCGGCGCAGACACGCCAAGTGTCGTTCTTGGTCGTGTCTGGATGAGCCACGCGAGCCTGTCGGCACAACATACAGCAGTGAAGCCTCTCGCTCTGTGGCTTGACTCAATCATGGCGAGGTCCAATTTAGTTGTAAAACATGGCACATGCGGGCAGAGCTAGAGCCATACATAGAATCTGAGCAATAATACAACTTTGAGGGACACCAAGTGAACGGCACTGTAGTGTAGGTAGTGTTACTGGTCGAATTTCCCCTTAGCCATGACGTGGCAGGATGCGGATGAAACGAATAATATAAAAAAGTCCGTGAAAAAAAACAAAACAGTGTGGAGCGAGAGATGCTTGCAATAAGGGTACTAGCCAGGTCGGGGTCTCTTAAACTTACGAACCCTGTTCCTCACCTGACGAGCGTGAAGGCCGCGTTGGCAGCGGCGATCGAGAAGCTCGTCGCGAGGAACGACCTCACAGATACTCGTCCCTGCGGCGCGTTTACACGCGACCGCGACCGCGCAACGCCAACACCGGCAGGGTGTCGTGGACGCAAGGGCCGATAAAGCGAGGTACACAGCAAGAGAGACAGACACAGACGCAGACACAGAGAGAGACAGAGAGAGAGAGAAAGAGAGAAAGAGAGAGAGAGAGAGAGAGAGAGAGAGAGAGAGAGAGCGAGAGAGCGAGAGAGCGAGAGAGCGAGAGACGTGATTGCTTTGGAGCTTTCACTTCGAACTTCTCTTGTATGATGCCGAACGGCGCTCCATCAATCGAACGCTGGCGGACAAACGAAACAAACTCACAAGGCTTGTCTTCGTGGTTTCAAACGAACAACTGAACCGAAGTCGCCAAATCCGAAACGAAATGATGGGCTGGAGATTAGCGCGGTGGGGGGGAGGCAGTGGGGACAAAGCATCTCTGTCTACCGCACATTGCGGCCGCAACTTCTGCAACCCTCCTTCCACAGAAAAAATAGGATGCAACCAAGGGGTGCCGTCCTTGGGCTAGGGATACTACTGAATGGTGGTAAGCAGACGTCGATGAGCATGCATCCGCGAACCTCAGCCATCGTGTTTGACTGCGCACACCCTTTGAGAAGCCGGAAGGAGTGAGCCGGGTACTCTCCACAGACGGAAAAAGAGCCAACACAGACATGAACAAGTTTGTGAGCGGTCTTCGCGTGGAGCGTTTGCCATAACTTGGGGATGGTAGTCACAAGGACGGCTGTCATGAATGGATTGCAAAACTTGGGAGGCGTTTCGTACGTACGTACCACACTTGCGACAACGAAACTGCAGAAAGCGCACACGTCGTGCGTGCACTCTGCCAGAAACGTTCTCCCTACCGAACGTACCACCAGCATCGCAGAGGAACGTGTCTTTGTGACACCGTATCGTAACTCCGCGGTAAAACGAGAACGTCACTGCGAGCGACCACAACAGCTGAGATCGCCAACGAACAACAGAGGGACGTTTCCAATAGACCCTTCTCATTGCTGTGCGCCCCCGCTTTCACCCACGGTTTCCTGGCATCCTGCTGCCGCTGGGGCTGTTCTGGAAAACGTTAATCGTACCTGTTGAGTGGCCCAATGCGAGAGCCAGTAGCTGAACCCCGCCGCCGTCGCTTGCATAAGGGCTAGAGAGAGCAGGGTGACGGCAGCGACCCCCAGTCCTGCCGACCTCACGTACAGCAAGTACACCTTCCGGAGAAAAATCAACAAACAAGGGAAAATACCGCGCCGCTGACATAACTCGTTCTCTCTTTGTTCTCGTTGTCGTTCTCGCCGTCTCGTGGGTGGAAATTGCACAAAATAACCTGGCTCACCCCCTTCAAGCAGCTAACCCCAGAGCTCCACGGTGGAGCGCCGCACTCCCTCTCCTGTGTTCAATACCGCAACCTCCTGCCGTCGAGCAGACCCAAACAACCCGCGAACCTCACGGAATGAGCGCGTCTTCCCGGGTCGTCTGCGCAACCGCAGCCTAAGAAAAACCCGTGCTAAGGCTGCATCAACCAACTAGAAGGCCCGTGGTTCTACGGGCCAAAAAAACGCGCCTCCGACTCACTCTGAACTCCACGGAGCCGTCCTTCCTGTCTTCTTCTTCAACGGGTCCACTACCCCCGTTCCCATCCCCGGCTTCCAAAGCTTCACCACCACCGCACGGCAACAACACCTCTCCACTACTGTCTGCCAAGCCATCGCCCTCACTGCTCCATCCGGCGCCTTCTTCTTCAGGGCAGCCGCCGCCGGCGGCGGCGGAGGCGCGTTCCACAAGGTTCAAAGCCGCCTTCTCGGCTGCTTTGGGGGCGGCCCCCGGTCCTGCTGGTCGTGAGGAGGCCGTTTCCGACGCTGACTTTGGCGCCGATAGCAGCACCGATGGGCTTGTTGCTGCTGCTGGCGGTGGTGCTCTTGTTCTTTCTGCGCTGGCGTCGCCTCCCGGCAAGGGCAGTCTTCCTCCTTCAGCGTCCGCCGCCGTCTCGGGCCTCGTGCCTCCGCCCCCGATCCCCCCCAACCGGACGACGCGGTCGAAGGACCGCTTGATAGACCGAGACAGCGGCAGAGGCAGCACCGTCGCGCCCCTCTCCTTCGTGGCTGTCGCTGACAAAGAAAGGGTGAAAGGTAAATCATAAAAAAAAAAATCAACAACCTTTCCTGTAATCTAAAAACCATACCTACCTTCAAGACGCCGTTCAGCCGCGGGGGAGGCTGTACTACCGGAGAGAAAAAACGTTCCAGCGTGTCTCACGTTGTTCTTTTTCTGCAGGGTCGATCTCGCCGCATGTAACGACAACGGCCACCCCGGGGTTTCCGCGCCTCATGACTCCGTGTATGCAGTGCCGAAGGACGTGCTCCCGGGTCTCGGCATCGAGAGAGGTAAGGGGGTTGTCTAGGAGGCACAGAGTGCCTGCGGAGTGGTGGCCGTCGCCGCCATCGCCGCCATCGCCGCCATCGTTGTCATCCGCCAAAGTGGTGCCGCTCTTGGTGTCGTCGTCGCCGGGGCGGTTGTTCCCGAGTGCCGCAGCCTTGGCGGCGACATCAGCAGCAGCAGTTGCCGACACGAAGTAAGCGCATCTGACCATGGGCGCACATCGCGACAAACGAGGGGGGGAAATCGTCTGTCTGCTTTGTTCCGCCCCCGTGGCTCTCGCACGCATATATGTGTACTGTGCACACAGCCCGGAGTCAACTTCACGTCAAGTACCAGTGCATCTTCACAGACACTACTTTCGTGACTCAGGGTATGGCTATCTGGGGATTCGCAGTAGGTTGTTCGACTTCGAAAGCCCGCGAGTCCGAGAAAAACAGAGAACACCCCGCCCTTGCTTGCTTGCCTTGCCAGGGACACCCGAAGGCGCTGGCCGCCGCTGAGTGTTGCTCCCCGCTCCCCGACGTAAGCCGTGTCCCCCCCTGGAATGCTGGCCAGATCTTCCCCGAGCGCGCACGCGTCGAGGACCTCTCTGCATCCAAGTAGAGCATCAGTTGGTGCGGGATAGGTGTTCGTGTGGTCGGCACAGGGCGAGGAGAGGGTATGGTTTCATGCGGCGTCCCGCGACCCTGTGTGTGTGACCTGGACAGGCTAGGAGCCGACTGTGCAAGTGTGACACGACAAGCCGCCGATCGTACAATCTATCCCTCGGTCCGTCAGCTGGTGGAGGGAGAGCAGAGCTGCAACGTCGGACCCATTCGCAAAAAAGAAATCAGTTGAAAGAGCAACATCGTAGAATTATTTTTTCGCCTTGCGTGAATCATCCTCTCCCTCTCCCTTCCCCTCGCCACGTATTGGTTTAGTTGAACAATGGAAACACACACGCGCGCGGCATACAACACCATACACTTTCCGGAAGGAGGACCGTCGCTCCGTGTCGAAGAATAACGCCAAACATAAATTAGTGTGTTCGTACATATTGGTCGAGTCTCCACGCAAACATTGTGACCGCGAAAACTACACGTCAGAGAGAAAGAGAAAGAGGAGGAGAGAGAGAGAGAGAGAGAGAGAGAGAGAGAGAGAGAGAGGGAGAGAGGGAGAGAGGGAGAGAGAGGGAGAGAGAGATACAACGAGAGGCAAAGAGAGAAATACAACCTATGAATAATACTTCGGTTTGTTTCTTACCGGTATCGCTCGCGGTCCATCGGAATCCCGAACAGCACGTTCTCTCGCACGCTCCCGCTCATCACCCACGGGTTCTGCGCGGCGTAGCACACCCTGGTTGTGGTGGTGCATCCCCCTCCCTCCGGATCTCCCGGCCCCCGTCCCTCCGCCCCCCGCACCACCACCCCCCGCGTTGCCTGTCCTCCGCTGCTGTTTCTTCTCGTCCGCGATGGGCGTCGACGTCGTTTTCCTCTGCTGCTGTCCCAGAGTCCTCTTGCTGATTCCCTGTCTCGTCTTGCCTCAATGCTGCTGTTGTTATCATCACGATCGATACCGCTCCAAAAGCCCACGGCATTCGTTCCTAGGCCTCGAAGCGCCGCTTCGCTTTCATCACGACCAAAATTGCTGCTGCTGCGGCTGCTGCTGGTGTGGTTGGTGTCGTTGCTGTCGGCGTTGGCGGTCTGGAAAACCGGCAACTCACCGAGAATCCCCGCCAACAGGGTAGACTTGCCGCTGCCTACTCCACCCGCGATCGCAACGGCCTGGTGCGTTTTTGTTCCACCCGAGAAAGGGTTGTTTGGTTTGTGGGGGTATCGGGTAGATCGATGCAGTTGTGGGCAAGGAGGGCATAATCACACCTGTTAAATGGAAAAAGAGATTTCTGGTCCCCGTGGACCAGGAGGTGAGGGAACTACGATATGGCGGTTATCGTGTGTGAGGAGGGGTTGTTCCAGGAAAATGTCAAACATGCGTAGAGGTTAATGACACACCACGCCTCCGCAAGAGTTCGGCTCCTTGCAGTGGACATGTTGCGTGGATCACTACATCTGTGGGTGATTGAGTACCTGTCAGGGGCAACTCGAACCAAAACACGAAGAGAGCATGTTTGCTCTATATCGTTGCTGTGCTCGCTTGGCAGGTGACATACAAGTACACACGACCCTTAGCTTCTATTTTCTTTCACTCTCTCTCGCTCGGCCTTACCTCTCCCCGCCGAATCTCGAGAGAAACGCCATGAAGCGAAAACTCGGGCGTGGGTCTTTCTTCACCTCCCCCTTCGGGCTGTTCTTCTGGTGATTGCTCCTCCGCGCTCGACTCTTCCGGCGGCAACAAAGGCTCCAACACGCTCCCCTCCACGAGGGAACCGTGGATTTCCGCCCGGCGTTCGCCGTCGGACACAGGGGATACGGAGCGTATGTCCCCGGCTGATGTCCGTTTTTCACGCCCACGGGACAACGCGACGGTTGCGCCTCTCCACGAGATTAGGGGATCACGCGCATCTTTGCTTTCGTCATCGGAATCGCTGCAAAAAATCACACGAGGGTCCGCTGTTGGTGGTTTTTCCTCCGCTCGTGGCCTGACAGGTCCGCTTACATGTGCTGTCCTTAGTGTTTCGAATGATGAAAAGTGAGAAGAGATCGAGGTTACCAGTTTGGATATGCCATGCACACAAACGTGAAGACGAAAGCGACGCATCAAGCTCCCCCAAACGGTTGTAGTGCGTGTGCCTTGAGATACAATGAGACACAACGCTTTGAAGCTAGGAATCGATCGCACCTCTCGACCCCACCAATGCGGTGGCTCCCTTCACACGACACTGCCGCCGTGCCTTTAGGGAGGAGGAACAGGAGTTTCTCTAGGCGGGTCTTCGACACGCCAGCCTCGACGATGCCATTGATGACCCAAGGGAAGGCGTTCATTGGGTGGATCAGCATCTGCAGTAACGACAAGGCTGATTGTATGCATCGAGAAAGGAAAAGACAGAGAGAGGGAGGGGGAGGGGGGAGAAAGCGAAACAGAGATGGAAGCCGAGAGAAAAGCCGAGAGAAAAGCAGAGAGCGAAGCACAGAGAGAAAAGCAGAGAGAGAGAGAGAGAGAGAGAGAGAGAGAGAGAGAGAGATAGAGGGAGACAGATATGGCATTAACCCAAAACAAACCGGAACCGAGCAACAATCAACGTCGGATGGGCGGACGGGTGGACATGCAGGCAAGAATCGATTACAATACAACAGGTCTAGAAGGAGGAACTGGAGAAGACTACCAGTGACTAATTCGCTCCAGCACGACCTTTCAAGTCTCAAGCAATAGTTTATCATAAGTATGCCTCAAACCGGGTCACCCACGCTATCTCGGATTTGGGGGTACAGCTAAGCACACGCTAGGATGAAGCAGGCTGGAAAGCTGCCATCGATCTCTATAAAACCCTCCACCAGTTCCGATAAACTTCGAAGAAGCTAGAGAAAAAGCGGAATAGTGCTGATGGCTGTCCTCAAAAGAAACATACAGCCTGCACTACCGTCGTCCATATTCTGTACTCCCTCGTGAACCTCACTGCCTGAAGTGAAACCCCGGACAGTTTCAGAGGCTGTATGCATTGCAGTGACGGAAACGGCATCGACAATGCCGTAATCACAAAAACAATATTAGAAGCAAAGTAGCAGCAGCAGCAGCAGCAGCAGCCTCCGCTGCAGCAGCAGGAGCAGCAGAAGCACAAGCAGCCACAAGGCACCTGCAAAGACCGAGGAGACTCTCAGAGGCGGCGCGCCCTCCCCCCTGACGACCACTAGAGTGGCGAAGGTCACCAGGCAGACGAGCGTTGGCGTCGTCGCCCAGAAAAACACGCACCACGCGTCTACGTACTTGAGGGTTGTAAGCGCCGATACCTGGCGTTGTTGCAGCGCGGGTGACGGAAGGGTAGAGGGCGGGGGGGTCACAAGCTAGGCGAGTTCGTGTTAGCTGCCGTTTCTATTGAAACGGTTGTTGAAACAGTTGAGTTGTTGGACCGAACCCGCTCAAGCCCTACCCCTAACCCTGTACCGAACACTTCACCCCCTCACCCTGCTGCAGGAAAAGCAGCCGAGCCAAACCACGGGTCACACGACACTTGCCACACCTATCACACATACCTCTCTGGTTCTTGACGCATCTATCCTTTGCCGAATGCAGCCCTCCCACGCGAGCATCTTCAGCGCCTGTGTACGCCGAAAATCCAAACGCAGAAGAACAACAAACAGCAACAACAACAACAATACACGTCACGTTAAGCAAATGAACAGGCGACTAAAAACGCAACCAACAGTGCGCTTGAGTCGGTGTCAGGCCTACTGAGATACTGGGCAACGCACAATACGCGCTACGAAAGTCAACAGTTCAAAAACGCACAGATGCACACGCGTTGGTTCGGAGTTCGTAACCCATGGGGGCGTGAATACCCTAAAGTAACGTCGGTATATGGCAACAACCGATACTCAAAAGCATCACTGTGACCAACGAGAGCATCGAGGCGCGGCCCGATATCCGAGATGACGCCGAGCGCCCGTAACACAAGGGAGGCATCGGGCTGGATATCAACGTGTCGAATGTGGTCGCCCCGCGTAGAGCATGCAACCATGGGCCAGAGGAAGAGAAAAGCGAACCAATCAAGGCTTCAGCCTTAGCAACCGCAATAGCGGCGGCCGCAACAAACACGACGGTTACATGGCCGACCTGAGGTTGCGTGCGTAAGAACCCGTCGCTTCTACTTGGCTTCTTAACCCCGCCTACCTACCCACCCTTATCCCGTGCAGCATCTCAGAGCAGCGCTGAACGCGGTCGTCCTTGTGCCCCATCAGGTCCCGAGTCGCGGCGCCGATCCGCTTCGCCAGGAAAGCGTTTAGCGGCACCATGGCGGCGATGACGACTAACCCCGCCGCAAAAGCGAAGGACACCTGCGGAGCAAGCACAACGGCAATAAAGCGTCAGCACGAAAAACTGCTACAAAAATGCGTCATGAGAACGGAGCTGGAGCTCGACCGGGCGTCCCGTTTTCGTCGGCGTGGCGCACGTGGAGGAAGTAGACAGCGGCGCGCTTTGGACGTGGTCACCTGCTTGCCCAGTCTCTTCGGGCCTGTGGGAAAGCTGCGGCGCAGCGGGAGATTCCCCGCCCTCCCATCACACGCCAAGAAGCCACGCCTAAAAGCTAGCTAGATAAACCAGTATAAAGCAAACGTCACTTACAAGGGCGAGGAAAGCTAATAATAGGAAGGGCCAACCAGGGAGACAGAAGCAAGCACAGGCATAAATTAGGGCCGGCCAGCACATGGTGTAGCGTGTAGGAGCAAGCGCGGTTGGAAGAGGCCATCTCCACTCGTGCTCACCTCTCGATGGAGAAGATAGAACGTGACCCCAACCTGGTGCGGCGGTGCAGTAGGGGAGGGGGGGGGCAACGAAGGCGACAGAGAGGAACAAAGGATTAAGGTACAGTTTCGGTTACCCTCTGTATGATGGTACACAAAACACGTTTCGAATCAGTGCACTGCGTTCCCCAAAGATACCAACAACGAGGCGAGGACAAATCGGGGGGGGGGGGCACGAAACGGTTAACCTCTCGAGCGTCCGTTCATTCAACGCGATAGCAAAGTGCGAGCAACATTGGTCCGTTTAGGTCTATCTCTCCGCCTCCCATAAATCTCGAAGCTTTCATTGGATATCGGCTACCGTGCTCTTCAAACAGGTAATATCCAAATCTCTACACACAATGATGCTGTAGAACGCGCCGTGCAGTAGTAGCAGCAGAAGCAGAAAAAGTTTTTAACCTGCAAGGGCAGACCCCACAACTCATGGAGAGACCCGGCGGTGTCCATGAGCCTCTGAGCGTCCACGGCGATGAGGTTGGCGGCGCTTCCGGCGGTTAGGCCCACCCCGGACGCATCGACGGATCGTACCTCGAGCACCTGCCTGTGGCGGCACCGCAACACCCACACACGTGAGAGCGGGAGCACACACTCACAGAGTGTCCCAAGTCAGGATCACTTTTCCGAGGTTCTGGACTCTGCCATGTCGTTCGGGTGTTCATGCTAAGCATCCAACCGACCAAAACTGTTCACTCGCGGCTGGATGGCCAACGCAGTCCAACCGGGAAACCTTTTGCGCTAAGTGTGAACTCCTCCGTTGTACGTATCACAGCTACGGGCAGCAGAAATCCGCCGCAGTACGTACCTGTAGACCGCCGATACGATCGATGCCCGCACGTGCAGCTGCAGCCGCCCCAGCCCCAGGCTGAACTGGGTATCCAGGATGGCGCAAAGCCCGAAGGCGCACCCCAGTGCCGCCGCTCCCAGATATCCCTTCCTCGCCGCAGCCACACTGCTCGAACCTGCAAGAAGAGATGTTGAGTTGTTGAGTTGTTGAGTTCTTGTTGCTGTTGTTGTCGCTACTGCTATTTACTGTCGGCTGTGTGGTCATTGTTGCGGTAGTTGTTGTTGTTGCCATTCGTGGTCCTCTTGGTGTGGCTGTTGTTGTTGTTGCTGCTGCTGCTGCTGCTGTTGCTGTTCGAGCCGTTTCGGCTGAAATAATAGTCGGGTTGTGCCGGTGGAGGCACATGCCTCACACCGGGGGAGGGGGGGGGGTATAGGAGCGAAACGAAGCACTACCTACCGTGTCACGGTTGGTTTCCTTTGAGGCGCAGAAACGCGCCAATTGTATGGAAATACCTTCCAAAAACACAAGAAAAGCGAGCAGAAACGGTGTCATACTACGGCCTCTACTATGCTGGGTAGTACGTTACCGTTCACCTTCACTTTGAGAAGCGTCTTGCACCGCGTCAACGACCACTTTCAGGAGCAGGGGACCGGAGAAACCCAGCACCGTGTTGGCCGCCTTGAGCCACCCGAGGTTAAGGAACTCCCGCCCGAACGTCGAGCGACATGCCCGTATCAGCGATGGCCGCCGCCGGCCGTGCTCGTTTCGAATGGCCGCATCGAATCTGAACGTTGCACGTCGACGAACGTCGAAGGTTGCGCAGCGAGGAGGGGGCACCTGTAAGAGAGTGACAGGTCGCCGCTGCATTTGCCCCCCCGCTCAGGAGGTCCATGGACCTGAGTGTCATTTTGCTCTTGCTTTAGCGGCATGCACATCTCCTGGTGCCGTTCTAACCATCCAGGAAATCTAAGATACAACCGTTACCTATGTCGCTCGTTCGCACTTATCGGCCCAAACAGCTGCGCGGTCTTGGCGGGCTAGTTGAGGTAGGTCCTCCGCGCGTAGCTGTCTCGCAGCCCCCGTCCGGAACAGCTGGTTTAGCCACGAGAAGGATATCATGGATAACCAGCTCGCATCGTCGAGAGCGCCGCCCTCATCTCCCGATTCTACCTGCCGCACGTTTAACGAGGAGAACAACAACAGGGAATCGAGACAGCCGCCGGCGGGGCTATTTGGTTAGCTCGTCAGGGGGGTTCGCCTGATTTGTTGACTGTTCGTGCCGATACGCACGGCGATACCAAAAGCCTGTCCGTAGGTGTACCATGCATTATACACGCCTCTCCTATCGCTTCCCTGCCCCGAGAGAGCGAGAGAGGAGAGAGCATGGTTTGAGCAAACAAGAAGAGAAGGCGTTACCGACCCAGTTTGCAGCATTCATGGTGCCCATAGTCCTGGCCTTATAATCTGATGACCCCTGATGAACTTTGTTCACCAACAATACTCCAATGGAAACATCCCCCCCCCGGCGGAAGGATACGTACAAGACGGTATGTACGCATAAATGAATGCCCGCGACGGTAAACCATCAAAGACTAACGTGTTCTCTCAAAAACTCACAATTATCACAATGCAAGCGCTTCCTCGAAGCACGGCCTACATGCAAGAAAAAGAGCACACACATACTACGGATACCGCGTTATACTCGCGATGAGAATCATCCGCCGGGTCAAACCCACCCGAAAGAGAACTGCACGCATTAAAGCCGGGGCGCCTTCAAGGGCCACAACAAACCAAGGGAAGCGTTTTTGCAAACGTATGCCGACCCCCTCAGTTTCCACCCGCTAACCGAGTACCTCGATTCAAACAAGCGCGTAGCTGTACCTCATCTTGGAATCGACTGCTCCCGGCACGTACGCCATCGGTCCTGTCTCGGTGTAGCAACCAGACAGTAGCAGTCATGGCTGCAAGCGACCTGCGCGCCAAATAACGTGTGACGGTTTCAGGGTTTCTGGCACACAGCGAGAGAGCTCGACGGGGATCGTGGGGGGAAAGGCGTGTCTTATCGGCAACATACGTCACTGCAGTGTTACTATTGTTGATTCGTCCTCGTGTGGTTCGAAAGAACACAAGACAACCTTGGTCCAGAGATATCTTGGCACCCTGCAGTGTTACACGTTTGCACCCGTCACAACCACTGTCGCTGAATTTGACTGTGCAAACACCCCGATCACACCCCACCACCTTCGAAACGAGCCAACACCAAGTCGTCGGCGATTGCACCAGGGCGCAAGATGACGCAGGTGGGTGCGAAAGATACGCAAACAGGATGTAGAGAAAAGGTAGGAAGACACGACCTGCCTTGTTGGGTGGTGTTGCTGTCATTCCCACTGTTCGTGCCATGCCGGTCGTGTGCGTGACTCGTGTACGTACGTATTGGCGGGCTCGTGAAGAAGAAACTATGCGAATACCTTTGTCGCCCCCCCAACGTAACAAACAAGCAACATCGTTTCGCTATAGCCAACTAGAAAATGAAATATTGGGCGATTTTCGCGATTCAACAGCTGGTTTGAGATTCTCTCCTTACCCGACCGCGCAGAACTCCTCCATGTACACCAGGGTGTCATCGACGTGGGCTGCCCCATCACCGAGCGCGAAGGCCGCCAGCCGTACGGCTCGCCACAGGAGTGCGAGACCCAAAAGGCCTCCGCACGCTATCGCGACGGCCGTGAGGGCGGCCCCACGACCGTACGTGCCAGCCTCACAACGGAGATGCGCTGTGAACAACGGAAGCACGTTTCGGGGGGAGGAATAGCTCTTGCTGTACGCACAGTGCAAGCCACTTTTCGTATGTCTTCACCTTCCCAGACTGAGCGCGCCTCGACAATAGCTGTAGCTTACCTATGGGCTACCAAAGGAGACGCAAGCGATGCTAGTACCGCCGGTGACACCTCTCCTTCCGGGGACCGCCTTCGCGAGATTGATAAGGTTATGTTTACTAGATATAGAACAAGGAGGGGGGACGCAGACCCTATTCCCTAACAACCCAACTTTCTCGATTGTATGCTATATCCAACATGTTTACATAATCGAAAAATCCTGCGATCCGTTGCGTGGAGTCACCGTTTGCGCTCTAGCAAGATCGAAAACCTTGTCCTGCGACAGCATACCTTGCCAAACGCAATATTGCGAAGACATCGCCAGCGTGAAGCCGAAACAGGGACGCGCCCCCCCCCCCCGTACCTTCTCACACTGTGTCCCACAAATATCGTAGACCATTTCAGCCCCCATATTTTCCGAAAGGATTCCCTGGTATCTGTGTGTATTTCGGCTGTGCCTCTCATATCCCCCAAACGGCGCCCCGGCCTATACGTACATCTTGATTTTGTCCGGCGAGAGCCCGGGGTGGCGTAGATGGTCCACACCACAGCAGTGGCGGCACAAACCAGCCGTGCAACGACAACAGCCATCAGTGGTCTCGACTGGCGAACCGTATCAGGCCCCTGCTGTCCCAGATTTAAGACGGCCCATCAGCAAACAGGAACCGGTAATTGGCGGGGAGGAGAGAAGGAATGGGATCGTTAATATACAGGGCCGGATAAAAAGCGATAAAGTGTCAAACCCAGGGGTTCGTAAGGCAAGGGCCTTTGTCCCTACACATGCCGCCAACGGTCCCTGTACCTGGCAGTGTTCCTGTTTTCTTTCGACGTTTGGTTTACATAACGCAGCGGGGAAGTCAAACCAACGCGGAACAAGGTCCACCGGGTACCATTTGTCAGCGAACAACACTTCCTCTCAAAGGATCCCGATATGCAAAGTGCCAAAAACACATTCGATCGTTTTTCTCGTGCAGGATGGATGACCCGATCAATCCTTTCAGCACTCCGAAACGTTTCTCTCCTTCCGTTACGCCAATATTCACTGTTGCTGCAGCCCTACAACGAGGAAAGGACTGTCTCCAACACCCTCTCTCGACCGTACGTATTTACGGCATTCGAATTGAGGGCTTCTAAACAATAAAATACAACAAGACAGTGATACTGGTACGTCGATGCGCCAACGTCGTTGGAATATATGAGCAGATAACAAGAGTACTGGAAAGTGACGGGCTTTGTGTCCGTAACAGCATCTGCTGGATGAAATTCCCGCTTAATTACGGGGGGACCTGCTCACGGTACGAATACAAGCCCACAATACGAAAAAAGTTTTCGTTCTTACGTGCTCTGCTGCCTGGGCCTACCTTGGGCATCAAGAGTTCCAAGCACGATACTGTGAGCACTGCCAGACACAGTCCGATGGCGCCAACTACCAGCCGGATATCAGACTTTGTCGTGGACCGCAGGCTGCTTCCTGGTGCTTTAGGTTTCAATCAAGAGCGAGCAATGAGGGGCGAGGGGCGAGACAACGGTGGGAAAGATCGGTCACCACCCCCAACAGAATGCGCGACAAAGTTCGTCTCGCCTTGCGTGCGTGATCAGCTGTTCGTTTTTTCCTACCAAACACGGGGCGAAAACGTCATTCGCCTCTCATTCTGTATCCCAATCGTACCGCCGTGTCGAACGGCACGTTTACACTGTCTGCTTGTCCTACGGGCATGTCGTAAAACCCAGTACGGTGCCCGTGACATACAATGAGCAGGTCTACTGGTCCTCCAATAAGGACGGAGAATTAGCGTTGAACGTTGGCAGACATGACGACGACGAACAGGTGCAAGACAATGAGCATCGTACTCTCTAGATGTGTCGCGTTACAGGATTTCAGGTCCGCTCTACGATTTTATGAGAGGACAGTTGCAATAAAGCACCTGACGGCAGCGCTCTCTACCTCTCCCTGCTACCAAGAAATCTAGCACGAAAATGAACCAAAATAATCACGTAGTCACGTGGTTTTAACTAAGGCCAAGAAGACAAGGTGGTTGTGTGAAACAGGCTGTCATCACTGCCGAGATCTGGTACCATGCTGCGTTATTACCTGCCGCGCTTCGAGAGGCTTCGTTTGCGCTAGTCTCCAGTAGGTTCCGTAGCAGTTGAGGGTTCGTCTCGCAACATTGCCTTCTTCGGGCGAGCAAGAGCATGGCCGTGTCTGCGACAAGCAGCGCGCTAGCAGACGCATATCCTTGTACCGTCAGCATGCGAAAGAAGCACAGCACAGAACGACGCGAGAAGTGCGGAAGGATCAATTGCTAGATTGTAATAGTATAAGGATGGGGGTTATGCGTCGGTTTTGCTGCATATCGAAGCTCCCTAAAAGCTACGCACAAGAAGAGGGGGGGAAATGTGTGTACATTGTCGAAGGTTTACACACGACACTAAGGAGCATGCGACGCGTAGCAGCGCGGCAGCTTGAAGACATACCAATGTTGGGAAATGCTCACGTATCTTGCAATTTGACACTGCAGCTCCGACAGCACGCAATTTCTGTAGTGTGCTACCCCCTGCACATGCATCGACAACATTTTGCGGGTGACATGGCTAGAGTTACCTTTTCTCCACGTTGCCACCAACTGCAACTTTGTTATTTAGCCGCAAATCTTCGGCGGCGAAAAGTTGCAGCGCACGAAAAACCACCCAAGAGCAAAACACAGGCCCTGAACTTCAAGATTAATCCGTTGCTACCAAGTCCAAATCACCGCTGTATTCAAACTCGGTGCAACGAGCTATCCCATGCCCAGTGGCGTATGCATGGTACCCACCTCCAACCAAGGCGGACGCCCCAACTCCTCCAAGTTGGTTCATATTGGCGCCGGCGTGTTGTGCACTGCAGAGGCTTGGCTGCTAAGACTATTTTTTTTTTTTTCCTGAGATCGGATTGCAAATGCTATCTTCAAACCTCTAGGTGCAGTCCATAGGTGTGGCTTTCTCCCAGAAACTCCCACCCTCTCAAAATATCACGCGTGTTGTGTATGATGCTTCACACACATGCGCCCACGCAATGGTAGCATGGTAGCAGCAGCAGCAGCTGCGGCGGCGGCGGCGCAACTACGACGTGATGTCCCGAAACGTCACTTTGTTGGTTCGGGAGGCAGAAAAAAGCAGCGAGCGGGGAACAGGGGACGGATTGAAGACCAAATCTCGGCACATATGGGCACATCGAGGGAGAACAAGAATGTGGAGAGAGGGAGTTGGAGCGAGAAAAGGAGCGAAACAACAGGCACACACACACCCCCCGTGACACGATCATCCGATCATCCGCAACAGCGAGCTGCCGCACACAAGCTCCGCCGCACAGACACAAGAGACCTCTCTGTCCTCTCCTCTCTGTGCCTGTGTCGGCTGACCATGCCGTCTTCTCACCGAAGCTCTTGTCGCTCAGCTGCCGCGGCCCTTTTGGTCGTGAGCTTTTCGAGCACAGCGCCATCATCGGATGTGCTCGTGTCGGGGTGGGTGGGGCCGAGCGTTGTTGTCGGCCGGGCAGCAGGGAGAGGGCTCGTTCGCGCGAGACCAACAACAACAGCAGCAGCAGGAGCAGCGACAGGAGCCTTGAGAGTGCCCACCAGGAGCGGCAGTAGCACAAGGCCATGTCGATGCGGGTCGGTGACGAGCATGAGTAGCAGTAGCAGCAGGCACGGGAAAAATTGGCAAGAACAGCAGCAGGATGGGGATACATTTATCATGACCGGACAAGAAGCTGCCCGCTCGCCGCTGCCCGCACATAGAAGACCAGAGAGTAACGACGCAGGAGGTGGGGGTGCTTGGGGGGAAGTGGTGGACGGGATCAAGAGGGTGGGCGTGGGTGCTCTAGCGGGTCTGTTCTTGATGGCGGGAGGCGATGTCGGTGCTGCGTTTGGAGATGTAGGAGTTGTCGAGCCAACGTCCTCTGTGACCGTGCAAGACCTCCAGCGATACGACGGCTTCGAGGATTACGCGGCGCAGGGGCAGCAGATGGAGAACAGCGACGTTGGCTGCTTCGCGAACGAGTGCAAGCGGGAGACCGCCTCCTGCTTCACGGACGGGAGCTGCTTGAAGGTATTTTGCCTCATGTGGTCCTCGCTGCTTGTTTCGCTTGCTGGAAACTCGAGAATTGGTGTGTATGTGTGACGTTATCGACAAAGGATTCGCTTTCAACCAAAAAGTTCCGCAGCGGTATCCTAGCAGCACCTAGGGTTGTTGAGTCACGCCGAGCCTGCTACCGCGCTCCCTCTGTGTACTTGCGTGTTGCTGGTTTCGGGTGGCAGTCTAGAGTAAGATGTACATCCCTCCATTGCGAGCTGAAGGGAGAGTTTGTTCTTCCCATCTTATTTTTTTTCATGTGCAGCCTCCCGCTCTCCACGTCGCGTCCCTACAACCAGAGGATCCTCTCAGTATCCACAGCAGCAGCAGTCTCTCCCTTTGTAGTTTTACACTTGGCAACAGAACGACCGCTGCGTAGTGTGCCGTATACAGTGTAGAATGCTGGGCGTATTTCCGGAGTTCCTCGCGTCTCTGTTGAAGTCGTTGGCCCCACGCTCGTGAGGCCGATATCTTTCCCTAGAGGTCGCTTCAAGCACCCTTGGCGTCCTCAGACTGGCTCTCTTATTCTCACTCACGCCCCCGGCGGGCGTGTCAACGACGCGCGCCCCAAAACTTGCGCCCCTAATGACCTGTGAAGCAGAAGCAGCTGCCTTGTGTGTTACCCCCGGATGCGGTAAATGACGGCCTTCAACCGGCTGCGTAGCCACAGCTGAAGAAGCAGCAGCTAGGTAGCAGGTTGTCTTTGGTGTGTGCGGAGGTCGGAGACGCTACACGACATGCGTATTGAAGTTCTGCTGCTGCTGCTGCTGCTGTGCTCTGTGTGGTGCATTCAACACCGTGCCCAAGGGTTCGGCGGCATCGAAAATTGAGGCCGCTCCTTTGGTTTATTTTTCCGAAATGTTGTCTCCCGCCCCCCCCCAATGGACCTTGCGAGAAGAGCAATTGAATTAGGGCCCAAAACTGCTGGTGGGTGCGCCTTAGCGATAGGTGTGTCGTGCAGCAGCGGTGCCATACGTCGTGTACTTTTTAAATATTTCTTGTGGAACTCTGGTTAATGGTAAGAATGTGTAGGCATACAGCAGTACGTACAATATATTGCCTGGCAAATGTCCCAAGTCCCAAGAGTCCAAGGGTCTGACGTGGATCTCGTGTCCTGTGTACAAAGGGTCACTTGCTTGAACCGTAACGTGTTCGGCCGCGCGGCCACAGCTTGCGTAGAAAGAATATGCTGTCTGGGAAATCGTAGACATACAGGTACTTTCTGACGCTATGAATCCATTGCTAATCTGTCTCAGACTATTTTCTCTGATAGAGATGGTTTCGTTGTGTCATATCAAGAAAAATAAAAAAAAAAGAAATGTGGGTAAAGCATGGATGCATGCGATCGAGGCGCGCTTTGCACGTAGGTGCTGCGTGCAGTCTCTGATGGTCGCGTTGGTGTTGCACCAACAGCTCGTCGCTTGGTTCATGTCTCAACAACTGAAGGCTAGACTATGTTATCTACAACAGCAGTGCTGTATGCATACATGTACATACAGCAGTAGGTGAGCTTTTTTTTACATACTGTATGCGTATGCATTCAATTACTGAAAGACTACCCGCTCGAGACAACACCACAGCAGTAAAGGCTTACGGGATGTGTTGTGTGGATGTCTTCAGAGTGCAGAAACGTAACGCTCATACTGTAACCATCCCATCCGATTGATGCGGTGTGTTGAAGGCTTTACTTGTTACAGTTCCCCAGAAACATAACGCTCTGATGAACCTGCCAGTCCGATTTTTTTTTTTTTCTTAGTATGACACCACGAAACTTCCGACGCGGATGAATTAGCAAGTTTGATGTTTTTGTTTATAGCGTATAATACCGAAAGCAGCTGCTGTCGAGTTGATGGCCGGCTTCCCTCGCAACGCGGTTTGGCCCACATACAGACCCGCTGGGAAGAGCGGCAGGTCCTACACGGTGACGTGTGACACAACTTATTGCAGCGATTTTTACAGTAGTAGGCGTGTGAGCGCGTTTGTGTTCGGTTGGCGGCCAAACACCTGTGGCATGCCCGTCCCTAGTACACTCTTCTTGCTGTACCCTGGATGCCTACACCATCATAGCGCCGTACCTGCACTCTATGTGTTCGCTATTGGTTTCGTATTTCTGGCTACATGGTTTCGCCCCCAGGCTAGCTATAGATATACGGGGCTGACCGTGCCGTGCAGCGTTGCTGTGGAAGCACTTGAGACCTGAAACCTGAAACTGATTCGAATCAATACACGGGTGTATATTAAATTTCGCGAGGAGAGGCGTGGTTTCCCTCGCTCTCTCTTTTGGACGAATAGTCCTACCGAGCACCGCGGATTGCCTTTTTATTTTAGCAACCACGGCCTGAGAGAGGCGCTCAATCGGGATATTTTGCACGTGTTTCTATTCGGATGGAAGCGTTAAAGTTGGTGTGGTCGGCGTTTTTTGGTTTTTGCCTCACGTCAGTATATGCTCCCCCCCGCCGCCTTGTTTTCCCGTGGTCGGTCCCTCGTATTCGCACGCCTCTCCTTTTTCCATTGCTCGTCCCTATTAATCACATGTCTCTCCTTCTTTTTCGCTTGTCTCTCTCAATCATAAATTTGTCTCTTCTTTTTCCTGTGCCGCAGGGCGTTACGTGCCTCGGCCGATGTAAGGGGGAGCAGGAGTGCGCGACGCGGTGCTTCGCGCAGTACGGGAGCAACAAGCTCGACTCGTGGCTCACGTGCACTCTGGAGGTAGGCATTGATTGTCTCTTTTGTGAAAAAAAAGAAGAAAGTGTTTTCCTCGCTTGTCCAGGTATAGTTGGAAGATCGCGTCAGGTCTCTAGTTGTTTTTGCTGTGTAATTTAATTTAAGCACTCGATAAATCGTTGTGCAACTCAAATTGTGAGTAACAAGATCATTTTCAGGTGGTCGAATTTTGCTAGTTCAGTAGATTTTTCCGTCTCGTGCGCCGCTGCTATTTTTGTCTGTCGCGTGCAAGTGGTAAAAAGTAGAGGGGCCTGTATAGAAGGCCCCATGAATATGGTCGGTCGCTCGATATCAGGCCGGTGAAATTACTTGGCACAGATTGGAACATTAACTTTCACCTTGTCTCATACCCTGAATAGTGCGGGGTGCCCGGTACAATGCCAGTAAAATCCTGCGTTTGCCCATTACAATGCCAGTAAAATCCTGCGGCACTACTGCTGTAGGCGACCTTGTATCGGGCCCCCCTACTGCATGTATATATTTTTTCTGTAGCTGCTGTCGTGTTTCCCTTCTTTGTGTTATTTTCTCCATGTCTGAGTGGAACAGAAAATGCTGGTTAGATGGAAACCCTCACAAGAGTCGGGATAGTGTATCCAGGCTCTTTTGGCAATCTGGGTCAAGCGTCGAAACCTGTGCTATGTATCTAACAGAGATGTTTTGTTGTGTTCTGTAGTTGTTGGGGTTGCCGGTCTCATGCGACAAGGAGGACCGGGATGTAAGAGGTGGCGTGGGGCGGCGTAAATCGGGTGTTTGATGTATCTTGGTCAATGCGCTGAAAGAGCATCCAAACAGACTGCGTAGGGTTTTACAGCCGCCTACTCCTTGATGGAATGCTGGTGTACTTCCAAGCCAGAACCCTACCTTAAGGCGGGCTTCAGACACCAAGAACTTGTAGTCGGGGCCGCACGTTCAGTGGCTCATCTCTCAGATTGAGCGTTTTTTCTGTCGCTCCCTCCTCCCTGTTTTATCTGTTGCAACATGATATTATATGTTGATTTTGTGCTGTTGGTTACCCTACTTGCACCCTGTCATCTCACCCCCCCCCCCCATCCTTACCCTTCTCGCTCTGCGTTTTTTCTTTTTTTTTCGCAGGACCACAGCTGCGTGAAGATTCCGAAAGATATGGACTTTTCGGCGATCGACAAGGACCCCCCGCACATCGTCAAGGGCTTCGAGGCGAAGCAGTTGCAGGGGACGTGGTACAAGGTGTGCGTCTCTCTTTTTACGCCATCCCCCTCTTTACCAACCCACCCTGTCACTATTGTATGCTTGTTTTGGTCGTGCAACGCGCAACGGCGGCGGGAAGGCTTTCTAGTAGTTGTGGTGATTTGCGCGGCCTATTGTTTGCGGAAAGCAGAGGGCGTGGTTGTGCTCCGCCGAGCCGAAGGTGCCGAAGGTGCCGAAGGTGCCGAAGGCGGCCAGCAGAAATGTGGCTGCGATCATGTCCGAAAACACCCAATTTACTCGTCTTCGATCGAAAGACCCATGACGAGCGGCTAGATTGATGACCACTTGCCTCTCTCATCACCCGTTGCTTTGCTCTGCTCCGCCCATCGTGTTGCGCTGTGGTCCCACCTCTAGATCATGGGGGTGAACAAGAAGTACGACTGCTTCGACTGCCAGAAGAACACGTTTAACGTGGCTCAGGTGTGTTCGTAGGTCTTTTGGCGGGGTTCTTCGTACTGATATTTTTTTAGCATTGACCGCACTCACAGCGTGTGCCAAAAAAAGAAATGCGCCAGTCTCACCTTGAACGAAAGACAGCAGTTTCTGTGTGTTGTCGGTTGGGACGGTGTGTACCTTCGTGTTCAGCGGTTGGGACAGCAGTAAATTGTATGTATCATATGCATACCAACCAAGGGTACAGCAGTACACAAGAGACAATGTTCTTCGGAACCCTTTGGCGGCCCGGCGTTGCTTTTATTTAGGACCAAGACGCCGCCGGCCCCCAGGCATAGCAAAGTCAATCTCTGACCACCACCACCGCCGCCGCCACAACTCCCATATGCGCTTGCGTGTCTGCATTATCGACGTCAGGCGGTAGACGCCCCGGTACCGGCGGGAGGTGACGTCACCGCGGCGACGGCGACCCCGCGCCAGGTCGCCGACATCAAGGTCAACTTCAGGCTGGCCAAGCCGGACTCGGACGACTTCTGGGAGAACACCATCACGGAGACGCTGCAGGTGGACCCCGCGGACTCGCCCCGCACTTTCCACACGGACGGGAAGCTGTTCGGTCTCTCGTTCAAGGAGAACTGGTGAGGTTCTTTTTTTTTCTTCTTGTTTTGTTCCCTCGCGCGTTGTTTGTTTGTTGTCTGTGCGGGTTTTTCCTGCTATTTTTTTCTCTTGTAAGGTAGGCATTTTTCGGGTCTTATCGGTTAGACCTGGCGGCATGGGGTCGTAGGTATGCACGACACATGGGTTGAAATATTCTGCACCGCGATGGACCACCATATCTGCACGGGCAAGGCTGAACTCTATGATGACGAGGGTGTTGCTTTTGCACCGCAAGAAACGGCTATTGCGGCTGTTTGTAGAAAGTCTACATGACCTCACAGAACTACTATTCGTTCGAGATATAACCACAATCGAAAGGGATGCGTTGTTGAAGTCTTTACAGTGAGCGGAGGGAAACCGGCTGGAAACTGGGCTATTTGAGTTTGCCCAAGCATATACACTGAATGGAACCAGTGATATCAGCTTGTGCTAAGAATTAAAGCATCTGTATAGGGAGATGTATTTTACATATACAGCTATTGCCATCTGTATCAACGTTTGATCCTCCGCTATCTATTCAACTTATTTTTATGCAAGACTCATGAATTGTCGACAGCCCGTTCGAAATGTAGCCACAGTTGAGTTTTACCTCATACGAAGTTCCTCCATCTGTTAACAACATTTGACCCTCCTCTTTTCTTTTGCTCGTTTTGGCAGGTATGTTACGGGCCACTCCACCGACCCCGGGGAGGAGTTTGTGTTCGTGCAGTACCGGGGGCACACCCTCCAGGGGAGCTACGACGGGGGGTTCGTGTACGCGAGGAAGCCGTACCTGCCCAAGAGCGCGCTGGCCAAGGTCGCCCGGGTGGCTAGGGTGAGAAGCATTATATTCTGTTTTTCAGGGTCCCACGGTGGCCTTGTATTTTGCTAGCTCTGCCTGTTTGTCAATTGTGGTGTGACTGCTGTGGGTTTCTTGTTCGCTTCTACACCCAGGGTGTATTCGGCCGGAGCTGTTGCTGGGTTTGGTGCCTTCGCTCCTCCCCTCTTCCCGTCCACTCTCTGTTGAGGGATTTTGTCGCCCCGATTGATAGTTCTACTACTGTGTGGCAGGCTCGTCTCTCCTCCGCACTCCACCGCCTGCCTGTACTTGATGCCCTCTCCCCCATTCTCGGTGCCCCCTCACGCCGTCTACGCGTTTTGGCAGGAGCATGGCATAGACCCTGGCAGCATGTTGGCCATCGACAACACGTGCTCGGTGCGAAAGTCACTGCCTCGCGCCGGGGACGCCACCAACATGAACCCGTTGGAAAGGTGGGTGAAATTAAGTTTGTTGCAGCCACGGGACCCCCTTTTTCGAGGCTTTCGTGTTTCTCACTGCTCCTGGGAGGTCTGGAACATTGTATTATTTGTGTTCCGTTGTTGACCTCCTGTGTTCGGTTCGGGAGCGATGTGGAGCACGAGTAGAAACCGTGGCCATGAGCAAGGACGAGGACAAGCAGCAATTGATCCCCGGTCTTCTCTCGAGGACGCGTGGTCTAGTACCCAATGCAGCAAATCATGAGTACCCCCCCCCTCGTGCGCGGTCTCTCTTGTCTTTTGCTCTTTCTACCAGGCTCCAGTACGAGGCGTCCTTCGTGTATGACCTGATGGAGTGGGTGCACCCGGGCACGATCCACAAGTACGCCAAGACGGACCAGAAGAGCAACAACCTGGCCTCTTCCCCGTCGTCGTTGTCGTCGTCTGCCACGATGGCGAAGGCCGGCGGCGGGGGCATGTCTTCGTCCCTCAAGGCCGGCCCTCTGGCGGAGGACGAGGGGTAACAAGCGCGAGTCCTGCTGCTGTTTCCTCTGTGGGAGACACGGTCCGCGGTACCAATACCTCCAGTAATGGGGCGGTGATTGCCGTATTAGAGTCGACCCCCAGGCGATGGGATGGCGGCTGTCTGTCCCGATGGGAGATGGTGGTTCGGAGATCGTGGGATCGTCTTGCTTGCCGCCCCCGTTGCTGGAAGGTGACGGGTAGACGAGAGGGAGAACTACCCACGGGGGGAGAGATGAAGAATCACGGCGCCCCTTTTCCTGATGGGCGTTGAATTGAAGTCATTGCCGGGGCATATGCATATGAGGGGTGATCGTCCCCTGTTTGTGTTTGGAAGGTGGCCGGGGGTAGTGAAGCTGCCGAGTCCCCGTCCTGTCCGTTGCAAGCTCATTGTTGTTCTCCGGGGCGTGACAAGTATATGTGGAAGTTGATGGTGGCTAGTTCATGAAGTTCCCGATGTCCCCCCTCCCCCTCCCCCCCTTTTTTTTCTGTCAAGGGTAAACAAGCTTGACCGGCTTGACTGACCCGACTTGATGCGTTGCCTCGTTACGGTGGTTAGGACTATTGTGTTGATGCCGATGTCCTTGGTACCATGTACCATACCGTTATTGTTCGGAACTGAACACCGGTTGCCCTCCACTTTGGGTGTTGGTAAAGGGCTGGCTAGCTAGGGGTTTTAGCAGCAGCAGCAGCTCTTGATGCCGTCGTGTAGTAGACGTGACTGCTGTTGCGCCTTCCCTGTCGGAGCCGAGGCCTAGTTCCGCTCGAGACTTAGCTCGCTTGTTTTGGTTTTGCGGTCCTTTTGGGTTAGCCCAGCATAGCGGCTGCTCTGACAGTCTTCCTTCCGGGTATTTATTTACATCGTAGGCTTGGAATTTTTTTTTTGGCTTCCCCTCTCTGCCTGGCTGCTGTTGTTTGATTGGCCTGGTGTACGCGCGGCTGTTGAGGAGGTAAGTAATACACCGCCTGCCGGCTGTTGAGGCGACTCTGGTTGTTTTGTTAGCGACAGGTGGGGTGCTGTGGGATGGGAGCTGCTCCGCTGTTTTCGCTAGTACGTACCAGGAACAATTGTTGTTGTTGTCTCCGCGTTGGCCGGCCCGCGGCCTTTCCTCCTCCTCTGTTTCCTCTTACTCATATATATGCATATCCATAGACTTTGCTTGACCTTGTGCCGTTGATTAGTTGGCAGGATGGCTCCTGTCGAGCGTTGTTTCGCTTTTTAGATCGGTTTCACTTCTGTTACTCGTGTCGGGCATGTATCAGCCCTCTGTGGGGCATGTTCCCTTTAGGGTCGCGCGTTGGAGGAGGCGATGTTGGGGAGGGGGCTGGGGCAGGGTCGGAACTGATACCGCCGTGCCCTCGTGCCGTGTGGGCTATTCCGGCCAAGTCCTGGCGTGTCGTTGTGTTTGTGTTGGGAATGGCCTGGCCGCCACACAGACAGAGACGCGCGAGGGTCACTTTTCGGTTGGGGAGCATAGTTCTCTTTTTCTTTCGTTGCTGTCGGCGACTCTGACAGCTACCCGGCCCTCTGACGGGTTTTCCAGTCGAGAGCTTGGCGTGTGTTGTCACGAGATAAGCAAGGGGGCGTGCAAAGACCTATTTTCGATCGAGGAGCAATGCCTTTTTCTTTTCTTTTTTTCTTGGCGAAGGTTGTTGAACCACCCGGCCTGTTGCGGTTTTTTTTCGTACACTTGCTTGAGTGTGTATATTGTTTGCGTGTTGATTTTTAGAAGAACGGGGGGCTGCAGCACAGGGCTGCGCATGAAACAAACATAGGAGTGGTTTTCATGGCAGCAGTTGACGTGTGTATGGTAAGGCGAGAGGCAGGGAGGTAAGCAGTTGATTGATTTGGGGGCTTTGACATGTTTATTTATAGAAGATGCGGTGTTCCAAGCCGCCTTGCCCCCGTGCTCAGCATCATGCACAGAGTAGTGGATGTAGCGTTGCTGGAGCCATGCCCCCCGGGGTTGGGCCGGGCGACAGAGGGCAGGAAGAAAGAAGAGGAATAATAAGTACACTCATCTTGTCCATGTCGGCGCTCAAATTTCACACCACGTGCACACACACTTATTACTACTACTTTTGTCGTGTTTGTTTGTTTTTGGCGTATGCATACAAAGTGGGTTCACCAAAGAAAATACTTCCACACATTCCCACTTGCTGTTGTGTGTGTGTTTGGCGTACAAAGTGAGTTCGCAACAATTGAATGCATTCACGCGTCGTGTGTTTGTGTTTGGCGTGTACGAAATGGGTACAGATAATTAGTACCGCAAGTTGAGTACAGAGTCGATTCTAATTTTCGGGGATGCTTATTATCCGTCGCCTCTCATGTATCTACCCTACTGCCCCCCTGATAAACACAGTTGGGGAGTACAGGCAGTGAGATGTTCGGTCGCAAACGGCAACAGCGTGTCTGCTTGGGTCGCGCGGTGCAAAATGTTAAACCCCCCTGAGGACTCACTCCTCTTCTTCTCTGTACTCTATGCATACAAATGCGTTGTTTTTGTCCGCACCACCTCCACCCAACGCTTACTAACTTACGGTTAATTTAAGCGCAGTCTCGACATCGTTTCAAAGCTTTCAATCTCCAACGTTGCAAAATATTCGCCCATACTGTAGGCACGCCAAGCACACGCCTCGACACTATGGTATTGTTCTGTTTTATGGCTGCATGCGAAGCTCTTGCCGGCTTGTGAATCTCGATGCTTGAGACAGCGGCTACGCACAAGAAGGCTTGCTTCTCCTCGCGTGCCGCAACGTGTAAATAGTAGTTCGTGCGCATTTTGCACAAATCGCCCAAGGGATGGTTCGGCGTCAGGCAGTAGTCTGTGGGCACACGCGCGAGCTACACGTACGTGCCCGCTACTATATATTTCATTGTGAACCAGCCGACCTTTTGAAGAAATAATACGAAGAAAGCCACTCATTCATTCATTCGCGATCACCAACGATTACTACCTCCTCTAGTCGTTACGAAAATGAGACACAAAACAACTAGTCTAGAGACTCGATAAAAAACGAAATAACAGTAACACACAAGAACATCCAACATCCACGTTGTTGTTGTCCGTTCGTCATCACACTAATAGTCTAAACGATCATCTCATGATCCATTGAGAAAATATCCTCAAGGCCAAATAAATATACATGTATGTGTGTATTGGTAGGTAGAGCCATCGCTAAGCGGGGCCACCAAACACCTCCCGAAACTTGGTGCTAAACCCATCCTCCTCCGCTGCCGAACCTGTTCTCCAGTTGACGGCGATCAGCAACGACACCCGACACCAAACACCCCCCCCCCGCCGAAGCTTGGCGCCACACACCAATCCTGCTCCGCCAGGGGTTCTTTCTCCAGTTGTGAGAGCGCTCACAGCAACGAAAACCGATGCCACCCAACCCACCTGAAAAGAAAGGAACACAACCAACCACCGAACCCCATGCCAACGTAAATGCGTCTCCTTCGTTCGTCATTTTCTTACACCTAGGGGGGAAGGGGGGCGCATGCACCTACTTCTGTACGCGGCCTCAAAGGCTGGGGAGATAGATAGATGGGGGTCCATCCTCCTGCGGAGGATTGCACAAAAAAAACAAAACACAAAAAAAAAGGAACAAAAAAAAATACTTCGACGTAATTTACAGTATATGGCGTACCCCGGGGTACGAGCACGTCGACCGGAGAAAAAAAAGTCGTCGGCCGCAGGAAGCGAAATCGCTGGCCTCTTGCGGGATACGCACAGTCCCTCGTCCATTGTTAGTTGCCGTTTGTGTTGTCTTCGCACTAAAACCGTCCCGGTCTGTCTCCGCTCAGTACCTTCTAATGTCCGTACTATAACAGTACAACTGACGCGGACGCCTGCCGTGGTCACAGGCTAACCGCCCAGAGGAGGGTACACCTTCCCATGGGATGGATTCAACGCAGCACTTCGGCAAGCAATTAATTGCAGTCCCCGGTGCGAAGCTATAATAATAACTCAATTAATTGCTGCTGCTGCGGATTGTTGACGGAAATCCGTCGGACAAATCTTTAAATAAAGAAGTCGAACAACCTGGTATTATTAGCTACTATAGTTTGCCGCTTTGACCATCCAAGCCACCGGCTCATCAGGGAAGGCACATGTAGGCGTCCTCATCGCCGCTGCCGTCTCCAACCACGTAGACATCCTCGCACTTGTAAAAACCATCCGACTGTTTTTTGCGGCATGGGTCGGGGGGGGGGGACAATGGCAGTTAATGGCGAGATTAAACCGAATGAAGTCGCTGAAGATCCATCCGTGCTGACGTGCCATCAACACAGGGTGTGCTCGAGTGCGTTCTCCAAAAAAAAAAAAAAACTCAAGACAATTGCTTCCGACCGTTGAGGGTGGCTGGAAAATCACTCCTTGTATCTACACTGTTCCGAAAAGAAAACGCCCTGCGAAAACAACTCCAAAATAACACGCATGCATGTAGACGTGTTTTGTTCGCGGGGTCAGGGGTCATGCATGATCTTGGTTGTTGTGGCGAAGAGGCAAAGGGCGGTAAACAGGAGATGAAATAAGGCATTGCAGTTCGGAGCAGCGTTTTTTTCCCTGACAAGTTGACACAGAACCGAGGCACGCCGCGCGCGTTCGCGTCTCTCTCTCTACCACGTGTAAGCCACCACCCCGGCATATCAAGAGCGTTCTTAACTTTTGAAAAAAAAAAAACACCGATAGCATATACTGCACGACTACCCGTTCGAAAGTAAACATGGTACCACCGTGCGGACGTGAATTCCAGGAATCACTTCCTCGACGACACCCGAGCCAAAGCGACACCCTGGGCCAACCCACTCCGATAGAGGAGTTGCCCTTCACAGCAGTCGAAGGGATAATGTACGTTTATTTTTTTACGAGTCTTTGCAGCGAACTGTTCTCTCTTCTTACGTTGTTGACGATGAAGTTGTCGGTGTAGGTCGCGTCCTCCGGGAGGAACTCAACGTTGTCGTAGTCAATGTAGATCGCTGCGCCGTGCTCCGTCGATTGGCAGCCGTCGAAGAGCACGTTCTTGACGAACCTAACCGACCGCGTTTGTTTGGGTGACGGTCGGACCACGACGAACGGGGGAGGACAGGGGAATTAATATTTCATGCCTCGGGGGTGCCAATCGAGTGCCCACAGTTTGGGCATACCGGTTCGCGAAAATGAACTTTGCTGCCATCTGTAGGCGATTGCAGTGCGATCGATGACGAGCGGTTTCTTCAGTATCCTCGTTGTTTCGTGATGTTTCTCTCGTGTCGAACGTACAACCCTCCGAGATTTGTAGGCACGCGGTTAATTTACCAACGTTCCTGTTCAAGATCCCGCGGGGGATAGCAGATATCATATCAAGGCCATTCGAACGAAAAACCAAAGCAGCTTGGTGGCAGGCGCTGCCACAGCTGAAGCCATCGAGCGAGAATTGGGTCATTGTGTAGATAGATGGCCAGAAAACAAACATGGACACGACGTGATGTATGTTCGTATCTACAGTAGTAGGAGAAACCTTGGGTGTACCTTGTTTCCGTATCCGGTCTGTGTAGATGGATGGTCAGAAAACAAACGTGGATACGAAATCAAGGATATGTGCATCAGTAGTAGTAGGGAGCAGCGCCAGCAGTAGTTATAGGATAAAACCTTAGTTTTCGCATCACCAAAAAAGTTCTCAACAGACCCCAAGACGGGGCCCCGATGAACTACCCCCATTCACAGAAAATACTTCAGCCCCATCCCCTTCGACCTTCGACTGCTGTGGATTATGCTTATATCTCGAACGGGTAGTCTCTCTTTGACTGTGTGTACCTATATTTCCTAAAAACTACATACCGTCGTGTCTGCCAGCAGTCCCAACGACAACAAATACCCAGGGAGGGGGGCACTCACACCATCTCCGAGGCGGGGCCGCACGAAATGCATCCGCCGCTGCCGTCGGTCGACCGGCCCTGGTTGAAGGAGGCGGTGTTCCTCATCACGAGCACGCCGTAATTGTTGATCGTGCCGCCGTTGCCGGGACCGGAGTTCGACTGGAAGGTGGCCTTGGCTGATTTCAGGAACTTGACCACGCCCGTGACGCCGATCCACAGCGCCCCTCCCTCCTGAGGAAAGCCAAAAACAACCCGTACACCCAAAAAAATGGAATAATCAATAAGGGGGTAATATTACACGACGTAGTCGACGGGGGGACCTACGCGGCATGCACACAAATGCAGGCCGTACAACCAGTTCCTCGAGCCCGCTTTAACTCGGCTTCAAGGTTCCCGCGACACCGCACCAAGCAGTTTGCAGAGAGCAACGCGTGCATGCAGGGGCACACCCCATACGTGTCGACTCTGTGTCTGGATCGGGAACAACGACCAAGCCCTACAACAAAGCCAGCCTTCACACAAAAATACCGGAGCACCCATGTTTGGCTGTCCGATTCTCCCACAGCCTTCAAATTCGAGGAATTCTTCCCCTTCAATTTTCCCCCCGTGTGCAGCCGCCCCGCCCCGCCGGCATTCGCTACGGGAAAAAAAACGGACACCCGACACTCACGTCTGCCTCGTTGTTCGTGAAAAGAGCGTCTTCGAAGAAGGAAACCTCGCCGTCTGAGTAAATGGCCCCTCCGTCCGACCCCGGCTCGGCGCCGTTGGAAGTCCACGGCTGAGAAGAAAAACAAACGAACGGAACGGGATCTATACTTAGCGCTTGCCCCGAGACCATCGGGGTGACCGGGACGGATTTTGTTTGCGCTGTTGCGGTTGAAGCCGCCGCTATTGTGCGTTCTTGTGGAAGAACAACGTAAATCCTGCGTTCTTCAACCCGTCCCACGAAAAATACGGAACCGCGGGTTTTGCCGCCTGGTGACTGGTGTGGAATCGAAGAACGACCTCTACGGCGAGACCAAGACAACGGTACATATCTCTGATGAACCGACACGGTTCCGGATAGATACCGCGGTACGGGACTTGACTCACCCAGTTTCCGCAGAAGTCCATCTCGACCGCTTCCTTGAACACCACCTTGGCGTCCTTCCCGTTCCAGATTCCCGCACCGTTGCCGGCCATGGCCACGCGGTATTCTTCAATGGTCGAGACGGTCTCGCAGCCGTTGGCGTAGAACTCGCCCTCGAATCGCACGTAGCCCTGGGCGAGGAGGTTCGAAGTCTCGTGTCACGGCCGGCATATTGTAGCGTCCATGCATGTAAGGATCGGGGCTACTTTCAGCAGTAGAGGCCCTTGTTTAAAGGCCGCTTACTAAAAGACCGGTTTGCCCTGTTGATGGCCGGTGAAATCGGTTGACAAAAATGAAACATTCACGTTGTCATTCACGTTGTTTCATTCTCTGAATAGTGACGGGTCCCCTTATACAAGGCTTGTGTTTTGCCTTGGACCATGGCGGCCTGCACCAGGGACTTCTACTGCTGTACTGCTGCCGCTACGGTCTCAAGCGACCAAAGGTTGCCCTCGCAACTGGCGGCCCACGGGTATTTATTGTACGTAGTCGCCGCCGGCGAGTGTCGCCGGCACGGCACGCGCCTGGCTCGCCTTGTGCACGGGCGACAGACAACGGAGTAGAGCGTGCGCCTCAAATCGAGGTCGCGAGTTCTCGATTTTGTACAAGCCATCCGAAGGTAATCCCGAATGGTCGCGTCTGTCTCCATGAAAACTCTCGGATATTTCCCCTCCACCAAACTTGAGTATACTACGCGTCTGCAAAACTGAAAAATAAACAATACCCAAGCCAAACACATTCGCAACCTAGAATTATTGAATTATTTATCGTGTAGCGTTCACATATCGGCAGAGAGATTAACAAGTCCTCTGCGGAACATATATCTTTCCGTACCTGGTTGTAAACGCATCCCCCGTGCTTCATGTCCGCGAGGTCTACGGTGTCTACGCCGATGCCGTCCATCGACACCGAGGAGAGGAAGCGGGCCTTGCCGCCTTCCTCAACGTTCAGCACGCCGCCGTGGACCACCTGCAAACAAAAAACAAGAAACAAATAAATGCAGTCACATCATGATGAGCATTAGATGGACCCTCATCTATGGATAGAGATGGATAACAATAATAGTCGTGTTACAAAGGCAAAAAAATATATAGGCCGCCGTCCCCGTGCGTGCCTTCCACTCGCGGTGGTGCGCCAGCGAGAGCGGCGTCGGGGTGGAGAGAAAAGGGCGGGTTCCGGAGGCCGATACGTGAAGGGCACGGACGGGACAAGGAACACAAACGAGTCTGGACGGCGTAGTAACCCCCCCAACCGCCAACAAGTCAAGCAGTGTATGGACGAGTTAGCGGAGAGGGGACGTTGTTGCATCATCACCCGGTGATACAGTACCTGCGTGCGGTCGCCCGTGAACTCCACGGGCACGTCCACGCGAAGAATCGCTCCGCTTTTGACCACGAAACGGACTTTGTCGAACTTGTACGTGACCCCATCGTCGCCGTCCAGCTTCAGCTTGTTCTCGGGAATTTCCACGCTGAGCCTGTTGGTGGTGGTGATCATGTTCACATGTTCTTTTCAAAAGTTTTCTGCCTCGCCGGCTCGAGCACAGGCCAAGCATCGAGACGGCTGTGAATTTTCGTTCTCGCGAACCAATTTCGAATCTTGTGATCATAGGCATCGGCAAGTTCCTTCGCTGGAGAGTTTGGAGGAAAATCAACTTGGCAGGCAAAACAAGCGTGAGCGTCTCACGCTGAAACGAGGGTAACGGAGGTGTCGTACTCTATTAATGACACCAACACACATTCCACCCACAACACAAAACAAAACGACACGTAAACATAAAAGCTGTGCCATGAAACCATTCACCACCACCGCTCGCTGTTTACAAGGCCTTCAGCCTTTCTGCTGGCCCCAATATGAGCCCGTGGGTCGACTGCCAGCTCTCGTGTGCTTTCGTCTGTTCTTCTCGCCGTGGTCAGCTTCGCTTCTTAGGCTTTCATAGACCGTCGCGGGCAGCGTCGGCATCGTTGCCTGTGGGGCGCTGCGTGGACACGCCAGTGACGGCCTCGAATGCCGGGGGACGGCACGCATTTATCTACCCCCTTGCTCACTACCCCGCCCAATCCAATTTTACAAGAACACAACGACGCGCGGGTGGCGTGGGTTTGAAATTTCCGACTCTGTGTTGCATCCCGCTCACCATTCGTCGCAAAAGATCTCCTCCTCGACAAGCTGCCCCAAGACGTTGCCCACGGTAGCGGTCGCTTCAGCAGCCGCCTGCAGCTCGGCGCAGTTGCCTGCGTGCCACGAACAGCAAATATAGCAAAAAATAGAAAGAATAAACAAGGGTTACGGTTGAGGGCTAGACAGACAGGTGTATGTGGCTGCTAGCATGAATAGGTTACATCTTATTGTTGATAGGATGTGGGTCGGTCCCAGGAGGTATACCCTTCAGACCCCTACCCTCTTAGAATTGTCTATTCTCTATTCTCTGTACCCCCTGAGATAAAGTCGGACCCCCACTTCATCTCAGACCGTTGCTGATCATCTCTCAGCAATAACAAGCAACTTTCCCATCTCAACGTGGTCGTGGACAAGAGTGTCAACGACAGAACCTTCATCTGTCTCTAGGAGCAAGCTACCGCCCACGGCTTCACCTCCTTGAAATGTATCTGTTTTTGTTTTTGTTTCTCTGAAAAAATACGTATGCATACAAACGTAGAACATTAATTACCAGCAGAATCGAGAGGGATGTGTTCAAGTCTTCCGAGTGATGGAAGAACTGCTGTTTATTTCAAGGCAGCCCCGCCGAGAAATACATCCTCCATATCTGAACTGGTATTGTGGTGTTTTCGGGACGTTACAGAGGACGCCGATCGGTCCGGGTGATCTACTTTGCAACCTCGCGAACAAACCATGATTACCTAGGCGTGTACAACAATTGTATATCCACCGTAGGCGATTTTTCTTGCGACTTGATACGACTTGCCCTGTTTTCAGCGCAATCGCCCAAACCAACTACTGTAACTGAAAAATACAAGGCAACCGCGTTCGGAGTCAGGCTTATGTAGACTAAATAGTGATCTGAAGTTGTTGTGGTCGAATTTTGTTTGTCGGATATTGGACATACAGCAGTAGAAGTCCCTGTTTAGTGCAGGCATGTGCCCAGCAAATTCACCGGCCTATATTGTACCGAACGGAAACAATAATAATCAATTCTTGACAATGACTTGGAAAATATCCAGCGTGTACCCGCCTACATAAAACACCGGCACTACAGCAGTAGTCTATGCCAATCATAGTGTAGGCACTAAACATGCACCTCTACTGCGCGTGTGGGTGTCCACTGACTCAATCTTTTGCAGCACCCCGTATCTCCGACAGGTCATCGACGACACATGTGAGAGACAGCACTCACTCTAAAGGTGATACTCACAGGGAAGAGTCTAAACATACATCCGTCTAGATAATAAGTAAGAACCCGCCACAAATACAGTCCACAGCAGCAAGCAGTAGCCATGTACGAAGTAGCTGCCGAGCAGAGTAAAAGAGGGAGTGTGCATGCATATAAACCTCTTCTTATCGGAGGCAACCACGCAAGGGGCAGCGTGGGACCACACACAGCAGTAAATGCCCACCCCTAGATGTATGTATGTATGTGTTGTACCTTCCTCTGTGGGTCTGTGACTGTGGGTCACCCGGCTACAGCACTACAAATTACAAATCAAATGTTATCTGGAGCGGATGAAGACTGCCGCCGAAACACTGCTGCTGCTGCTTCTGCGAACGAACCCGAAACCCGCCGGAACAACTCAACGGGACAGCAGTAGCTATTATTTATTGCTGTTCCAAGATCCACGACAATGCCACGCGCGTGCCTTGAGAACCCGCCCCATGCACTATACCGCCCCTTACAGCGTCTACCGCGCTCCTTCCTACTACTGTGTACTCTAGGCTTGTGACGTGTGTCCTCTCATCCATCAGCTGTCTTCTGTCTTCGGCGATCGGCGACAGGATGCGGGGTGTGGTCCGCAAAACGGAACGTGTCTCTCGATTCTTCCTTTTTGCTATCCTCTCAACACTCTACTTGTACTGCTGTAAAGCATGGCTCTTCGTTGATAAATTCTCATCGCGCCCGTCCCTCGCTACTCCGCTCATGATTGTTGGGCGAGAAAGTCTCTGCCGAGAAAGGAAACCATTACCGGTCTCCCTCTGGAAAGAGCACTTGAGTCACTTACTGATGTCCATCGGTGTTGGTGCCGCCATGCATCCCGCCGCTGACAACGCCGCAGCTCCGATAGCGGCAACAGCGACTTGCTTCATTGACGGCGTGGTCCGATTTCCGTGCATGGTGTGATGCGGTACGTGTATGCTGGATGTGTCTGGTCGGGAGAGGGAGAGAGATTTGGGGAAGCGGACGAGGTACGGGGCCTTGCAAGGAGGTGTTTGATGGATGTGTGAGATAAACCGGTGATAGGTTGTTGTATTTACCCCGAAAATAATGGATCAAGATACTGTAGATAGCCCGCGTTCAGCGGTGGAACATTCGCACGCCGTATTGTTGTTGTTGTCTTCACATTAAAAAACCGTTCCGATCTCGTATACCGTATACATATATATGAAAGTCCGCGGATCTGCGGATACATCTCTCACTTTGTGATGCGGTAAATGTATTGCGGGATGGGTCTGGTCAGGAGAGGGAGATAGAGGATTTGGGTAGACGAGGGAGGTGTGGGGGGCCTTGGGTTGCAAGGTTGCAAGGAGGGTGAGAGACGCACATGGTTTAATGCGATGTGTGAGAGATGAACCGCGGCGATGGAGGTTGTTGTATTGTACATATTTTCCCCGAAAAGAATGGATCAAGATAACCCCAGGCGCTCTTGTAGTCGTCAGGCGTTGAACATTTTCGCACATTCGCACACCGTTTGGCCTCCAGTCAGTAGTGTCAGTAGTGCTTGCCCATTCGTCGTTTGTTTAGTCTGGGTCTGCGATCTGCGGTTGTGCGGTTGGATACGAGAGATTCTGCCAGTGAAAAAAAAAAAGAGTTCAGCAGCGTCGCGCGGCGTTATGGTTTTGAAGGCTTGGTTCGTATCGCTCGCACCTCGCACGCTCTCGCACCTCGCACACAGCACATCACACCGTCAGGAATCAGGCACCGCCTCCCGTCAGCGGGGGTGTAGGCGATGTTTGTGCTTGCAACGATCAAGGACACCGTAAAGGTGAAGTCTCAACTTGCAATATGGTTAATGGGTGACCCACCACACTAAAGACTGCTGGTATTTTCCGTATTTTCTGGTGAATCAGGTTGTGTGTTCCCGATCCCGACGTCTTCGCCGACGTTTACGTTCACCAGTCCCCCGAGCTGGTGCCCGGGGACTGCTGCCTGCTACGTATGACGATATGGGTGCGGACACATTCAGCGAGTTCAAGCTGGCGATGTGTGGACCGAGTTTTGATGTGTGCGGTTACAGTTGGGATCTAGAGCAGTACTGCTGTACAAATGCTGTCTTCCGCACGCCGACAAATGCAATGTCCACCGCCGTTGCTCAAACGATACACAACGGGCACTCCAAACAAACAGAAGTGAGCCGTTGGAACAAGGACTGATCGATCTTCAGTGGGGTATCTTGCTTGGAGGTGCTCTATTAACGTGTTGAGCATGTGCATGCGTGGCACTACAACCCGTGTCGGCATGCGGCACAACCTCGTTGGTATGCATACCAACATGCAACATGGCTCTGCGCCATCGAAGAGCCAAAGGGGGCAGACTGCTGTTGTCCCATGACCCTGATTGCATTGTCAGCTTCAACTGCCGAAGCGTTGCTGCCGTTACTATGTACTGACTGTGGCCGTCAACGGTTGGTCGAAGGCACTGTCCGGTATCGTTTCCCAGCCTCTCGTCGCGTGTGGGAGTCCCGGCAGGCACGGCTACAACCTCAAGCCCCTTTTCACCGCTCGTTTCGTTTCCCTCTGTTTCTGTAGCTCGGATGACCTCTTTCAATTACCCCCAGAGTGTTGCAGCCTTTGAGGTGTACGGAAGATAGTCGCAGACGGGCATGTTTTAAAGCGACCTGCGTCCAAACAGTTACACGAATTCGAACACCTACAACCTCTGCTGTTGTTAACTACCACAATAAATTCTCGTGCCGACCAGATGCTGCTCAAGGGCAGCTGCAGCAGCAGCAGCAGTAATTGCATCAATTTGAGGCCAACACATTTTGACCCGCACATGGCTGATCGTGCGCAAAAGGGGGGAAACGGCGCAGGCCGTTTCCCAGTTGGTGGCAGCTATGTACGGTAGAACGTACGTACGGCGGTGGTGTTTGTCGAGAACTTGCCGGGACACCTTCCAAGAAATGCGGCGGCGTGGCCACGCACAGAGATGAGATGGACCGGACGACGTGGTCGAAAGAGCACCCCGATGACCGCTCCGTGTGCCAAGGAAGAAACACCCCCACAAGACTCGTTGTAGACAGTTTTCCCCAACGACGGAATTATTATATTTTCTGTAGGTTCTTCGCAGGTGGCCCCGAGCAACCCTAGCGACGACACAACCGATTATAATAGCTCTTTTTAACAATTATATTGTTGTTGCTACGCAGGTAGCCCCGAGCAAGTTTAGTGGCGACGCCTTGGACGTGCTGACGGCGCAGATAGAGGCCAAGTTCGCGGACAGGGTCATCGCCAACGTCGGCCTCTGCATCTGCCTGCACAGCTATGAGAGCATCGGGGACCCTTACGTCTACCCCTCCGACGGCGCTGCGCACTACAAGGCAAGCGGACCACGGGCCTTGCTTTTTCCGATGAGACCTCTGGACCCTCTTGTTCGTCTAGACCATCTTCTTCTTTCCACCTCACGATCCGCGTCGGAACGGTCTCACATTGTTCGGAGAAACCGGACGGGTCTTGCTTTTCCGAAGGCCTGAAGACCTCGTCTTTTGTCTCGGCCTCTTCTGCCTCTTTTTACAGGCCTCTTTTTCTTCTACAGACCTTTTCTTCCTGCCACCTCGCGAACCGCATGTGAACGGTCTCACATTGTTCGGGTTCACCGGACGGGTCTTGCTTTTCCGAAGGCCTGAAGGCCTCGTATTACTCTTGGCCTCTTGTTCCTCTTCTAGTAGACCTCTTGTTCATCTACAGACCTTTTCTTCTTTCCACCTCGCCAACCGCGTCTGAATGATCGCACTTGTTCGGGGTTCACGAAAACAAAAAAATGCCAAAATATGTTGCCAAAGACGTGCACTTTTGTTCCAAGAGTGGCAGTTTTGTTGTGGCTCGCAGTGGATGCTTAATAGACAACGACTCCGCGTGGTATACAGGGCAAGGGAGGCGTTTGACAAAACCCTGTGTTGGGACGGAGCTTTTCGCCGAAACACACAGAAACAGCCATTTGCAACGGCCCTTTCACCACACTTATCTATGAAACCCTTCGTATTGCTCTGGTTGCTTCTTCATGACCCGGCTAAAGGTGCGGTTTCGGATGCTGGTGTTCCGGCCCTTCGTGGGCGAGATCCTAACCGGAAAGGTCTCCTCTTGCACCAAGCAGGGCATCAAGGTGCTCCGTGCGTGTGTGTGTCGCCGGTGATGGCATTGATGCTGGTATTGGTTGCTGTTGGTTGTTGGACGTGTTGTCGGGTCTGTCGCTTATCTTGCTGTGTTGCGGTGAGCCAAGACCGGGTTCATGTAGTTTCAGAATGCCCGTTTTACGAAAAGGAGAGAGAAATGTGCACGACTGAGGTGGGAAATGTTTTAGGAAGTAAGAAGAGAGATGTGTGAGGTATGGAATGGCAAGGAGACGACGGTAGCTATATTGGGGCAAAGGAAGTGGCTGAAAAGGCGGGAAGTGATATCGATCGGATAGATACGCTAAGGAAAACGTTTTGGAGTCACCTTTGGCAAAGTAGGAAGGAACGATTGGCCGCCGGTGATCGTTCCTATGGGAACAATGCTCCGTCCTCTCGAGGACGTGTGGTCAATGGTCTAACCGCTAAGGCACGCAAAACATGAGCCCCTCCCCCCCCCCCCCTCCTCCGTCCTGGCGCCATCGATGTAACCGCTGCATGTCTCTCAGGTGTCACTCGATTTCTTCGAGAATGCTTCCATACCAAAGGATCTCCTTCAATCCCCGTCTGTCTTGTAAGTTTTCGCTTGGTATTGGATGCGTTATGCACCCCTCGCACAAACGCACATCCAGGACTGGTTGGTATATTGTGCTACCAACACAGGGAACCGCACGATGAAGTAGCTGATGGTAGGAACGGCGGTCTGGACGTAAATCTGTCACGAGTTGTTGCACATGCCTATTTGTAGGGACATGGGGGCGAGCGGTGGACTTTTTCTTTGAGTTTTGTAAGAAGGCGCTGCTTGCGGCAAAGTTGTGCCGCAAGCATGTGCACCAGCAGTATTGTCCGCCCGTTGCACGCTGGAGGCGTCCATGTCCCGGGTGAAGTCTATGTGAAATGGTCCTCCGCGCCCCGTGGCTCTCACCCGTTTTGCCGAGGAGAGCGACCTCACCCTCGTCGCAAGCTTTCGTAGCGATTGTTGTGCCAACCAAGAGGGTACCCGAGTGTTGAGTAGTGCCGTTGTGTCTCGGCCTACGCTGGCGCTGCCGACCGATGCTGCACCATCCCGTCTAACTTGCGGCTTCATGTAAGCGCTTCGCGAGGTTGAGATTCGGGTACTGTCGACGAAAAATGTTGGCGTTTCAGCTGCCAACCTGCCTACGTCCCAACAAACTCAATTATTGTTCTTTCAAAACCAGCATCCATATCTACGGAGATCAACCCCCCCCCTTCATGTATGCCTGCCTCTTCGAACAGCGCCCGGGGGGAGTGGATGTGGTCGTACCCCGACCCGGACGCGGAGGACGGGGAAAGGGAAGGAGAAGGGGGCGGCAGCAAGGGGGGGGAAGGCAGCGGGGCGGAGAACGACGATTCGTTCTCGTTGACCCTGCACGACGAAGTGCGTTTCCGAGTGAGAACGCTGGAGTTCACGCAGGTGGGTCTTGTCACGCAGGTCAATGGAAGAGGGAGTAGCCCCCCCCCCCCCCCCCCCCC